TCCTTTTCTTTCCTTTTTATTTCTTTTTTTCATTCAAAACAATAATTGCAATGGTCCCAAGGACTCCCAAACAACTTTCTGGCCTATTTAATATAGAGTTAAATGATCCCTGTGGACTTAAGTCTGCTCTAGATGGGACAAGTTGTATATATATTTTAACTCTGAATTCCTAGACTAGAAGTTATGGTCTGTTGTTGTTGTTGTTGTTTTTTTTTTTTTTTTTTTGGTTTTTCGAGACAGGGTTTCTCTGTGTAGCTTTGCGCCTTTCCTGGAACTCACTTGGTAGCCCAGGCTGGCCTCGAACTCACAGAGATCCACCTGCCTCTGCCTCCTGAGTGCTGGGATTAAAGGCGTGCGCCACCACCACCCAGCCACATGTTGTTGGTTGTTTTTGCTCTTTTGGGGGGCCTGCCACCCAGCTCCCAAATAAATCACACAAGGAGGCTTATTCTTACTTATAAATGCCCAGCCTTAGCTTGGCTTGCTTTTTGCCAACTTTCCTTAACTTAAATTATCCTGTCTACCTTTTGCCTCTGGGCTTTTCCTGTTCTCTTACTTCTGTAAATCTTACTCTTACTCTGTGGCTTACTGTGTAGCTGGGTGGCTGGACCCTGGAGTCCTCCTTCTTTTCTGGCCACTTCTTTTTACCTCTTCTCCCAGATTTCTCCTTCTATTAATTCTCTCTGTCTGCCAGCCCCACCTATCTCTTTCTCCTGCCTTACCACTCAGATCCTTATTAGACCATCAGGTGTTTTAGACAGGCACAGTAACACAGCTTCACAGAGTTAAACAAATGCAACATAAACAAAAGTAACACACCTTAAAATAATATTCCCCAACAAAAGTCATTTTACTTTGTTGTGGAACTTGGAATATATTTGTTCAGAAAACCTTTAGCCTCATAGAACTGCAACTAATTCTAAAGTTTCAAGATAAAGCTTGCAAGTACCCCGAGACTTACTTATCTAACGTGCATGACTCGGGGGACAGACTTCAGCTGGAGCACAGGTGTGTTTGGGTTTAAATCAGTCTATTCTTGTTACAAATTATGTTTCCTGTCTTGAGAGCTATAATCTGAGATTTCACACAGACCTTTGAAAATAGCATCAATGTGATTCATGTAGAAATTATCCAGAGCCACAAGGGCCAACTTGCCACCTGGAATCCATGCAGGTTACAAACAGGTGACTGAATGCATTTGGTCCTTTTCAAATGAGAAAGAAAACTCTAGAAATAGAATTTGAAGCATTTGAGCCAATCCCAAGGCTGCTAGACAGATTATGGTTTTGTTCTGATTGGTATGTTAGACTTTTTGTTAGTGTGACCACACACCTGCTGGAAGCAACTTAAGAAGAGAAGGATCTGTTGGGGTTCACAGTCTCAGAGGTTTCGGGCCACCACAGCACAGGGCTGTGGCAGAGTCAAGCAGTTTACTCACATCATGGCAGCCGGAGAGAGATGCCGCACTGCTCAGCTTCCTCCTTTCAGTCCACCCAGAACCCGTCCACCAGATGGCGCTGTCCACATTCAGGGCAGGTCTTTCCCCCAAGTTCACCTTTGAGAACACAAACAAAACGGAACTCTGCTTCTCTACCTAACCAAGTCGGTGGTCAAGATTAACAGTGATGATTGCGCCCTCCGTTTCCTGGACTTCCTCCGGTACAGTGAGCACTGGTTTGGGCTTAGGGTGGAACCCCATGGAGATGTCACAGAAGACAAGAGGGAAAGAACAGGCCACAAAGGAAATAGAGCGGCAGCCCCAGCATGGGGACCAAAAGAACACCAGGTCCTGGAAAACGAAACAGGCAAAATTACAAAGAAAGATGAGGCTGGGCGGCTCTGTGCCACTAAGGATCAAGACTGAGAATATAGTGATCATGACTTCTACGGCAAAACGGGATATGAGTAGGCCTCATAGTATATGCTAATAAAGCATGTTAACGAGATAATGTCAGCCACACTGCTGGCTCCAGCTCTCTCCGTACTTCCAGGACCTGCCTAGAAGGGCACCTAAAGGGCCAGCACCTGCTGGCTGTAGTTATCCTCAGAGCTCAGTCCAGGTCTCTGGTACCTGCCTTAAGTATATTGGATTAAAATAATAGTAATATTGGACTTGCCAGGCATAGCGGCTTATTCCTGTAATCCCAGCCCTTGGGAGGCTAAGCAGGAGGATTAGCCACAAATTCAAGGTCATCCTGGGCCACATAGTGCCAGCCTGGGTTGGAGAGCAAGCCCCTGTCCTTGGTTCACCCAGCCCTGAACAGAAGCTACCTTTTCCAGTGGACACCTCTATGATCACCTTGGAGTCCCCCCATTTGTCTTCCAGACAGCCTATGCTTTGTAAGGAATAGGAAACTCCCTCTGTTGGAATCACTGTATGAGTTCTGTTTCCAAAAAGACTCTTAACACACAAGCACGATTTCAAGAAAGAACTGAACCCGTGAAACCCAGAGTTGCCCTTAGTCGAGACACACAGGGCCACAGGGAACAGGCTTGGAATCTGGCTTTGGACATAAAAGATGAAGGATGGACATGAACTACTGGGGTGGGTTTGTGCTCACAGGCAAAACCTGGGCTGACAAGGCACGGGTAGGCCCCAGATACAGGGCCTTAGCCACCCCGGACTCACTGTCTGGAGACATTCTGGGCCTCCCCCCCCCCCCCTTAGTCCTGACGACAGCTCAGAGAAGGACTTCATAAATATGTTACGTGAAGGACGCATGGTCAACCTCAGGGTTTGATGAATTATTGTGCTTACAACAGTAAACGGCTTTGAACACAACCTTTGCCAGGAACTAAGCCGTAGGTCAGGGATGACAATGATGGAAACCTCCACACCCCCTAGCAGGTCAAGCAGGTCCAAGCGGTCCCTTGGAATGTTTGGGGGCTCTGAGGCCTGGTCCCCACCCAGAGTTGGTGTGGGGATGCAGAGCTACAGTTTCAGCACAGAGCATGGGCCCCCTCTCTCTGAGCCCCCCAGGAAGAAAGGACGGTTTTCCCACCTAGCATTCTTTCCCGTTCCCACCGGGGCCTCCTGCTTCCCAGCCGCTCCAAGTTCTGGTGACTTATTCATTATTCATCTCTCATCTTTGTTCTTAGGAGCGGGGCTCCCTGAGGCTAGTCCCGTCTCTGGGCTGCTTGGACAATGGCAGGTAAGGCCCTTCCTGCTTTGGTCAGGAACTGAGTGAAAACTAATGCCCCGACCCTGGTGTCCCAGGTGACCCCGGTGGGGTGACACCCGTCAAGGGCCTCTGGTGTCAGGTGTCTGTCACGATTCTGCTTTTGCTTGTCCCCTACAGCAGCCTTGGAGGTGAACAGTGAACACACCGAAGACAAAACAGGGTAAGGAAGGATTTCTCACGCTCCTTTTTCTACTTGGGATAACCAGGCTGAGGCCAGTGGGACATGCAGAGGGCACAGGAGGCTTTTTACTATGCTTTACTTGTTTTTGTCCTGAAGAATTTACACACACACACACACACACACACACACACACACACACCCCACACGTGCACATGCACTAGTCTGTGACCAAAATCATGTCAGCTGTGGTACAGAGTTGAAATTAGTGAGGTTCAGTAGATTTGGTTTAAATATGATTGAAAAATTTTTACTGTGTATCCCACCTTTTTTTGAGGTGTTCTTGTAAAAAAAAACACAGCTGAGAATTTTAGTGCAATTCCAAGTGAGTACTAAGCATGTAAAATTATTTGCCATCTAACTAGATCCCTGGGCAAGAGAGTTGGTTAAGTTCTTTCTCTTCCTCCCTCTTTCTGTCTCTGTCTCTGTCTCTGTCTCTGTCTCTGTCTCTGTCTCTCTCTGTCTCTCTCTGTCTCTCTCTGTCTCTGTCTCTCTCTCTCTCTCTCTCTCTCTCTCTCTCTGTGTGTGTGTG